GCGTCGGTCGCCTGCTTACCAGAAAAGAGCAAAATGGACCCGAAAATAATTGGGGTTTTGTTCCTGTCTGCCGGGCGAGCTCCCGCTGGCACGGCCGAAGGCTGCCAGCCCCCCGAGGATGGATCTGCTGGGGCGTCTCGATGCAGCAGGCAGCTTTAAAAGGTTGTCTGGAAAACAAGCAGAAACGCAGCTATTCCTCAGCAAGGGAAGAACTCGCAGGGCACACGAACTGCCTCTAGGCTGAATTAAGCGTCACAGGGATCAGATTCTACCACGATTCAATACGGTTCAGCTTCCACTGACAGAGTCAAGCCACTCCTAAGAAATAAAATACACCCATTTCTCCTGTAAAAGAAGCACTGCTGCCCCTCCCTCCCACCCGTCATCCCCTCCTGGCGCACCGCTAGCGGGAGGCAAAGACCCCTGGATGGGGCTTTCCCAGCGGCAGGCATTGCGCAAATTGCCTTCCAGCACGGCCCCCACACTGCAGGGAAGGAAGGAAAGGCTCTGCCGCACAGGGTTCCTGTCCCGTAACCCATAACCGAGCTGCCAGCAGCGCTAGCCTTTCCAAGGTCTTCTGAGCCAGTTCCCTCCCCTCTTGCCCTTCCAAATCATGGGGCTGGCAGCGTGCCATCCTCAGCCTGATCCAAATAATGCCTTCCCTAGAAGAGAGCAAGCAGCCCATCGGGTGGATTTCCTGCTAAGATGGGCTAAAGCATTTTCCTTTATAAATCCTACTTCCTGTAATTGCAATGGCAGTGATAGTATGATGTCACTACCTGCATTTTTCTTCTGCTTACTAGAGGTTATGAAGTCACATTTCAGTTGTTTGGAAAACTAGAGTTTTTGTGGTTCCACCCACACGTTAAAAAAAAAAAAAATTGTTCTGGCAGCTTGTTTTCATTTAGATTCCCACTCCGAAGCGGTCGTCTTAGCTCTGTTTCATCATTATCTCTCAAAAAAACAAGCAACAGAGTAAATAATTAAATCCATTTTTGAAGGCTAATTTAACTACAGCAATAGAATTCTCCCCCGGAAAAAATCTTCCATGGAAATGCTCTCTCTGAAACTGCAAACCTTCCCTTAACACCATAAAATATTCGCCTTTGACGGGGAGCAGCTGTAGTGACAATTTTTACAAGCAGGTGCCTCCTTCTGCAGCACATTAAACATATTTTCCATGGCTGCTGAAGCAGTGGAGCCGAGACCTTTCTTGTCTCACCTGAAGCAGCTTAACTGCTCTTTGACTTCAGTTTTTTAGTGAGGACACCGTGATGCAGGCACTCCAGCATCAGTAAGAAGCTGACGAGGCCCGTTATCTCTACATCAGAGATAAATACAGAAGAACAAGAATAAATAGCAATTCTCTAGTTATGCAAAGCCATTTTTATCATAACTGTTTTCCACAGCCATGAAGCATTTTTTAGTAATGATGTTAAAGAACATGCTGTTTTATCTGAGCGCTGAAACCCTGGAAAATCAAAAGAAAGGCAGGAATCTTTAAGGAATTCCAGCAATCCGAGCTATCTTAAATAGGGGATACAATTTTGGTTTTTTCAAAGGCTAAATTTGGTTTGCTACTGCAACGGATAAAGGATTCTTGCAGCCCACGGGACCACTGAAATTCTTTTAGCTGAACCCTGGCATGAATATTTATAGATCAAGCACTGATTTCTGCAGAATTTTGGCTTTGCTTAATTCAATTTTTCATAAAAATCTAGCCCTGTGATGCACAGAACCACATCATTTCTCCGTGCAGATTTTCTAGATTCTCAGCATGAATTCTTTTCGGTTTTGGCAAATTATTTTACCTTTGGAAATCAAGAAACTGCTCGCTAGCGATGATACATTTAAAGCATTCCCATGAAGAGTGACTCCACCTCTGAAGTGCAGCATGGGAATACAGCAGGTGCACTGCTGGGACCAGGCACAATACCGTGTCGTAATTCCCAATCCCTGAAACAAGCAGAGGCCTATCTTCCCATTCCAAAATCATTACGACACTACAAGGGGGAAAGGCAGATAAGGCCCACATTCAGGAAAACACTTAAATGTGCTTACCCTAAAATAACTTCATGTTTTCTTTCTTTTTCCTTTCTTCCCCCTTCCAATAATCTTCCCCATCCTCACCTCTTTCACTTAATATTTAATTTGCCATTCCCAAGAATCTCTACCACTTAAAATGACAGTTTTTACAGAAGTTCATGACAGTTACCCTGCTCATGTGATACACAGTTCCCTTATCTCCATTGTAAACTCCTGACGCAGTTTTTTTTCTTTTTCTGTTACTGTACAGAACCCATCACAACTGGGATCCCAGCCATGGTGCGTGCCTTGCACTAACACCATAAATACGGTGAAAATAATAGGCAAATCCTACTCTGTAAAACATACCAGGTTTCAGCTCCCATGGTGGGGCCTCACCGACAATCGCTTAGTGAAAAACCAAAAGGCATCCCATTATTGATACCTGGGACAGGTTGTCCCTTCCCTGTTGGGTGCCAACCCAACTGTAGGAGAACACACCAAGCAAGCAGTCACGGAGTCTGCCACAGAAAGCTGCTGTCTCTTACTCTGCCCCCATCAGGCACATAGGTTGCTGGGCTACCCTAGACTTTGCAGTGTCTCATGATGAAATGAGCAAGCTTCATGCTCCCAGGGGAATAGTTCAGGGCCTCTCCTGATGATTTCCATGCGGTAAAATGATTTGAGAACCCTTTTTTAAAAACTAAGCCATGGATGAAGTAGTCCTGTCCCATAGACTAGGACAATCTTTAAGAAATATAAGAACTCATTGCTTACTGAGGTTGTCAGCGTGGCTTCTTCAGTTCACCTAACACCAGTTATTTGGCTCCTTGGGGTCTACGTAAGGAAGAAAAAGGCTTGTCAAGGAAGGAATTAGGAAATCATACAGCACAGTATCCGCCAAATCAGAACAGATCCCAGAAATCCTTAATCCTACTCCCGTGATTTAGTAACTATGAGACCTGTCTTTAGCAAATGTTTTATGCTGGCCACAGCAGTGGGGTGGAAACTGCAGATAGGAGGGGTAGGATACTTGTTGTTGTCTCTTTAAGTGCCTCCATGTCACTTCATGGATCTCTGGTCTTCACCACCCAAGATAGGAATCGTGCTTGTCTTTACTTCAGACTTCAGTGCTACAATCATCTGCTGACAGACCTGTTCACACCAAGTCTAACTGGATCCAAATCTTGCATTGCTTCCTTTAGGAGCTGTGACCTGAAGGCATATGGAGACATGAAACAGCCTTTCCAGAACCAAGTGTAGTTTCATCTCAACAGTGAGAATGCAATCCTAACCAGAAAAGTGTTGTACTTAATAAATACTCTGAAAGTTTCTCTCTTACCCAAAATTTTGGTAGGCTTGTCCACTCATCTCCTTCTGCTGCGTGATGTTTGCAGTCTGCTTTCATCTTATCTGTGGTACTCTGTTCACATCCATCTCCATGGCTGTGTTTCAGAATCCTACCTGTATTTTCCTCTGGGATACACAACAGAAGAAATTCAGAGGTAAACATTACAGGGACTGACATCTCCTAGTTCTCAAGAATGGTGCTTTTATGAAGGCAGGGCGTCCCTCTCTTTTGCATACTGTCAGGAATTTAACCCCCGGCTGCCATTTAACTCAGCCCAGCTCATCAACAGATGAGAACTTGCAAGTCCTTAACATTTGAAGTTTCCTAATAGGCCACCACAAAGAGCCTCTGCTGGCTGGACATTTCATACCGTGGGCCAAGGAGGACAGCAGAAGCAGCTTTACATGCAGTATACTCCCAATCTTAGAGGAGCAGCTCTTGGGAAACACCCAAGTGCATCAGTAATACACAAGGAAAATGTTTTCAGAGACTTTGCTCTTCTGCCTTTCATGCGCAGCTAACATACATACTTGTCATCAATGAATTTACACAGACTAGGTATGTTTCCATTACTGTACGCCTAAGTAATAATAATCTAATCTTAAGATACTGATTTCAGCTGAGAGTTGAGAAATTTCTGAAAGGCTTGTAAGCTGGTAGTGATCAAATTTCACTGTACTCAAGCTTTAATTTATTCTTCCCACACAGTACAAATTAACTGCTGGCAGGAAAAGTGGTTCGCTATAGGGCAGAACTACCCTACAATTACTAGGTTCAACAGCGACCTCGGAAAGGTCTGTGAACAAAGTTGCTGCTTGTGTAACAGCAGCCTTTGCTCTTGGTTTAACTGCATAGGGAAGCACACAAAGTAAGTGCCTCAGACAGGCCAGGCTGGGATTTGCATTTAGAACACTGTTTAACTTCTAGATGTCAGACAATGACTTTTTAGGAGACGAGAGATTTGCCTACAGCACTTGGTTTTGCTTCTGAGGGAACGAATACTTTCAACTGTTACAGGAACGGCAGCAAAAGAGTTCTATTGAAACTTGGTTTGCTCAACTCTCACGTTTTTGACACTCAACACCTAAATAACCACTGTCCTCATGAATTGTAAGCCACACATACACACACCCCCCTCTACACGCATGTGGTAATTGCAATATAGATCATGTAGTACACACATACCTCTACACGCATGTAGTAATTGCAATATAGATCATATAGCACATTTTAAAATTGCACACACACAACCATACTCCTCATCATCTGAGCTATACCAAAATCAGCAAGGACAGCAACTCACACCCATCAGCTACTTCTGGTTTGGTTTGCTACTTCCCTGACTCATCAGCTGCTTCTGCATATAAAGCCTTGTGACTCAGAGGTGGCAAACCTGTGTGGGAGGACAGAGCATTGCTTCAAGCCATCTTTTCCTCTCTGTTCTTTTCACCCAGATTTCCCTCCTCACTCAGCTTCGCTCTCTTCCAAACTTCACCTCGAACCTAAGCAGCCCCCATCCTCTTCTCCCCACCGCATCGAGCGCCCATACCCACTATGTCCTCTTTACTCAGTTGCACATCTCGTTTTCACCGCTGCCACAGAGCAATGCCAGAGCCCTCGCTGCTGAGCTAGGGCACTCTCAAGCTGGACGTGGACAAGGAACTATGCAAGGAGATGGGGGATGGAGGAAATATGTTGTGGGGTGGGAGAATGTCACTACTGGCTGTGTAAGGTAGGCTATGACTTGCACTAAGCTGTGAAACAGATCTCGCTAGGAAGGGAAGGAGAGGAAGCTGCAGGGCATGCACTGGAATGTATAGGAGACTCTGGCATGTGGCACTGTCTGAATGACCTAAACAGTGTTAACGAGTTTGCTGAAGACCTGGCTTGCAGTGCCAAGCCCATCTAATCAGTAAATCTCCTACTGTCCAAGTTTTACTACCTTAAATCAAGTTATAGCTGC